TTTTTTTTCTTATTAAAAAAAGAATTCCCCAAAACTTTCTCCCCTCGCGCGGGTCGCTGCGGGGCCGGGACGCATGGCGCGCGGCGCGGTGCCGCGGGCGGAGCGGGGCGCGGCGGCTGCCCCGTACCCGTCCCTCCGCGCTGCCCCGTCGGGACCCCCCCACCCCCCCGCGCCCCGGGGCGCCCCGCGCCCACCCGCTCCTTCCGTAGGGCCGCTGCCCGCCGCGGGACCGCCGCTCCGCGCCGCCGCCGCCCCGTCCCGCCCGGGCCGGGATCCTCCCGCCGCCCGCTGCTGCCGCGCGGCCCCGGCCGTGCGCCCCGGGTGGGAGCGGCGCGGCGGGGGAAAGTTGCAGCCGCGCGGCGCGGCGCCGTGCCGCCGCGGGCTCCGCATTAACATGGCTGTCGCTCCGGCAGTGACAGGGAGCCGCGCTGCGCCCGGCCCGGCGTCGGGACCGCGGCCGCCGCCTCCGGCGCCCCGATCCCTTCCGTCCGCCCACGTCGCCGCTCCCCGGCCCGGCCCGGGCCGCTCGTGAGGCCGCGCTCGCGGCGGCTGCGGCGCCGTGCCCGCCGCGCATAACATGGCTGGCGCCGGAGCGCGGCGCGGGGAAGAAAGACGTGCGGCGGCGGGAGGGGGTCGCGGCGGGGGAGCGCTCCCCCCCGGCGCCCCGCCGAGGACCCAAACCGTTCGCTTTCGGCCCGGGCCGTCCCCCCCCGGCGCCCCTCGCCCTCGGCTGGGCTGCGGGGGGCCGCCCGGAGGCTCGCGGCACTTTTTTCTCGCGGCGCGGAGGAGCGGAGCCGCGGCTATAATGGCTGCACGGGAGCCTTTGTTACAGAGCATTGCGCTAGGCAGGCTGGGGGGGGCCGCCTCCAGCCCGCTCTGCGCCCCGGCCCCGCCGCCCCCGCGCCCGTGGGGCCGCCCCGGAGCCCCTTCCCGCCGGGGGCGGTGTTTCGGCGGGGCCGAGGCCGGGGGCGGCGGGCGCGGGGGCAGAGCGCGGCGGAGGGGGAGCGCGGCTTTGTTAGCGCGCGGCGCCGGCAGAAGCCATCTTAGCGAGCGGGGCCGGCCCGGGCGCGCGGTGCGGCCGCCGCTCCCGCTCCCCGCTCCGAGCCGGGCCGTGCCGCCGCGGGCCGTGCCGCCGC